TCAATATCTGTAACTATGAGCGTAGCCACAATGTACGGACCATGTATGGAAAGTAAAAAAAAACTCTAGATACATACATAACACAACCCATACATTCAGTCAAAAGTAAAAAATAGAATCATCTTTGATAATGGCTAAATGTATGACCGAAAGTGCTCGAACATGCAGAACCTTTGAAAAGATTTTACACACTTTGTGTCCAAAAGTGGAAAGACTTGTACGTACACAAGAAAAATTTAAAAAAAAGCTTAATCGGTCAATCGTATTTAACAAAACATATATAAAAGAGGGGTTGCTACCGAAATACACACATACACACACACTATATATATATATATATATATATATATATATATATATATATGAATAGGAATCTTTCGATAAGTGTACATCGGTAACTATAAAAAATCATGGCTAAACTGAGGAATGTTTTACTGCACTGATTGAGTATTGTATATACATGAATTTTTGTATATAAGCATTTTAGCGCACTAATCGAGAACGCATTAATAGAATGCGCCTTAGTTGAGGGATGTTAATTAATTTGAAGAATAAATTCAAAATGGAACAGGCTGTTTTTGCTCGGTTTTGACCTCAGTGTTCACATTTGTATTTACTTACGATCTATCCCTGACATTACACACACACATACACAAAAATATATGTATATATATATATATATATATACATATATATATATATATATATATATATATATATATATATGTGTGTGTGTGTGTGTGTGTAATCAATGTGTGTGTGTGTGTGTGTTTGTGTGTGTGTGTGTGCAGATTAACGATTGTAGAAAAATAGGAAAGAACACGTTACGAGTAAATAATAGGAGTTCTTTAGTTTTTTGCTTTTTTTTTGACAAAAACGGTGCTCCATATGGAAAACAGAGCTTCAAAAATTTTTCGCTTTGAGGATGAAATTGATATTTTATAGATCAATTTAATTTTAATAATTATATTGAGTTCTGGGAAAGGCTCTCGGTTTTGAAACATGAGAACTCTTATGTAGTGAAGGAATCATATTTTTTTTTAAATTAATATATATATATATATATATATATATATATATATATATATATATATATATATATATAAAGACAATAGGAAAACTGTAGTTTTAGACTACACATTTCGTAAAATTGGACTTTTACAAGACATTAAAATAAAAATGAATTAATTGAAACAAATTATTTATAAACATAAACAAAAATCATTTTAAAAAGATAGAAGAATTTAGAAATGCTATTGTATATTCATATGGTCAACTGAAAAATTACGTCAAGTACTTTGTTTGAAGAGAAAATTTTCGCGTGTAGAAATATTGTTTGTATTGTTGTCTTTATGGATTCAACACGTTTTCTTTTGATTTCTTGATATATTTGTTCTGTAAGCTGGCTTGGGAGAATAGTGATTCTGTTAGGAAAGGTGTCTTTTTTGGCAAAAAAAAGCCCACATTCGACGAAACGCGTCGTCTAAAACTACACAGTTTTCCTATTATATTTTTGTTCCTTTATACATATTATCTTTCTCTACAGATTAAGTCTGAGAAATTTTAACACACACACACACACACACACACACACATATATATATATATATATATATATAGTAAAATGATACTGATCCTTTTATCACAGAAAATCATTAATTCTAAATTATGAATAGATACAGATATATATCTTTAACTATAAACGCTTTCACTGGCCTTCTTCACTCTTCTCCTCTGTATAGAGAAAAGATTTAAGAAAATATATATTTATATAGATTATTCATAAAAGTACCATATCTTAAACTGTGTATATTAGTAATATTGCATGTATTACATATGTTTATATATAGCATTTACCCAGATATTAAATTTATAGGGCTCACTAGGTATTATGAGATTTTTAAGCCACCCATGTCTCTATGTTATGCAATATACAACAGTTGAGAAAAAATTAGTCCTGTAGGTCGTTTTTTATTTTACTGTTTTCATGTGTTCGGTCTTTACATGTTGCATTTTATTTCATTGCTGGTTCAACTAAATGGTCAAATATCGGTAGCTGAACGTGTGACGTTACTGATACTCCAGCCATTGATTGTTACCACCTGTTAAAAAAAAAAAAAGATTTCCATTGTAGCGTACACAGCTAGGAAAATATTTGAGGGTTGGCGCAACATATTCTGGTAAAAATTTTTTTTATTTCCCCTTTTTCATCATACGAGAAAAAACAAAGGCCTACTAAATAAAATTCTATATAATTAGAAATATATGTTTTTCTCTCTTTGATATTTTGAAACAAAGATAAAAAGACACAGTTCTTAGATAATTTCACACAATGACACATATGTACACAAACATATACACATATATAAGAACAAGATATGTATCCAAATATCAATATAGGTATTTATTAAACTTAGCATCGTTTGGTACAAGACCATAAAGGTGAAACTGTTTAGCATTACAAAGACGCTCAAGGCTATAAAAGATGAGCATCACTTAG